CTGCATCATTTGTAGAGGTATTTTTCCTAAATCCATATTGTTTACTAGAAAGTATATTGTGAGCTTCTAGGTATTTGTTTAGGCGATTGTTCATAATTTTCTCTAACACCTTAGATAGAGAAGGTAATACAGATATGGGTCTATAGTTATTGACACGGTCAGGATCCCCAGATTTAAATATAGGATAAATAAGAGCCCTCTTTAGTAGATCTGGGAAAATCCCCTTTTGAATGCAAAGGTTGAATATATAAGTAAGTGGCGGTACCAAGATCTCCCTGTACTGTCTGAGTAGATTGGAGGATATGCCATCAATGCCAACCGCACAATCCGAACGGAGAGTAAGTATCATATGCTCAACTTCCATCTCGTCGGTCTCAAGAAAGACAAAGGAATTTAAAGGTGTTTCCTGTAATTCCACACAGGGGCTGCGTACTGATGTTGTAATTTTGTCAGCTAACTCTTTCCCAACATTAGTAAAAAATCTATTAACCTCATTAATAGATGCGTCAATAGAATCAAGGATCTTTAATAGAGAAGTAGAAGGAGAAATAATTTTGTCAGTATGAGTTACTTCTCTGATAACCTTCTACATTTTTTTGGGATTAGACTTAGCCTTATTTAGTTTTTCTTTCTCGTATTGTCTTTTTAAGGATTTAAGAATGGCGTTACAAAAATTGCGATACCTTTTGAAAGTGGTTTGGAGGGTATCATTATCAGGCTGATTTTTCATTTTCTTATACATCCGATCTCTATTTCTCATGCATCTGAGGATGCCAGGAGTAATCCAGGGTTTAATTATTCTTAGACGATGGGGCACATATGAACATTTAGTACTAACTTTTAGGACTCTGGTTAATGAATTTACGAATAATTCAAGGGCAGTGTTTGGGTTTTTAGATTCATAAATGGTGGAAAAATTTATATTTTTTATCTGTTCTTCAAGTATTTTGTAGTCGATTTTGGCTCTTGGAGTATTTTTAATTTCTATATTTGTTAATTTATCCAAAGTGAGTAATACTGCGTTATGATCAGTAACGGTGAAATCGAGGACTATAGTCGCAGCTTTAAGTTTACTCTTGAGTAAGACGTGATCGAGAGAAGTATTTCCATGCGTGACTAAATTGTGCGCAGGTAGAAGACCATGACAAGCAGCTAGATTAAGATAATCTGGAGCTTTAGGATCCTTAGTACTATGAGCAATATCTATATTGATATCGCCTATCACAATTATATTGTCAAAAGAACAATTCGATGTCAGTACTTGATCTAGAGCGGCCAAAAAAGTTGTAGTATCTCTAAAAGAGGGGGACCTATATAGTGCAAGTATACAGGTCTGATTTCCCATTTTAATTAGGATGCAACAAGCATCTGGGAAATCTGGTTCCGTTACAGTAATATTAGAGAGGCTACTTTTGACATATACTACGACCCCATCATTTTTGTTTAATCGCTTAGCATTACAATAGGACTTATATCCATCTAATGGAGGGATGTTTGGGTTGCAAGATAGCCAGCATTCCGTGAGAATAATGATGTCGAGTGAAAGAGACATCCTAGATAGCAGAGTTAAGAAAGTAGGCATATTTGCTGATATACTTCTTATATTTTGCGTAAGTATTTTAAAAGAATCCATTGTCACCGTGGTTTTACAATTTTCAGGCTCTCTTCTATAGGATTCAGATATCTTAAAACTATCTAAATTATTTAAATGACTAATATTAAGCGTATCGAATGTGACCATGTAAAACTAGTGGGCCTTTACAGTAGTACTGTGGTTGCTTTGAACAAGAACTTGCTGTAATATGTAAAATAATATTAAATGTTTGTGTGTTGTGTGCGTGATAACAATGACTGGATGTGTGTACGTTGTGAGTATGTGCAGGTACTAAGAGTTTGTGTGTTGTGTAGTTAGCCAATTGCGACATATGATGTATGTAATGCGATGTACATAGCAAGAGGGTTAAACAAAAAATTAAAATAAATCCAAGTATTACAATGTAAATTCTCACACTATATAGTCACTTCTTTTTCACAAGTTTGCTAAGATCAGATTCTTTTTCAATTCGAACTGGTGGTTCTCCTTCAGCTTTACGTAAATAAACCAAGCCTCTTGAAGTCCAGCAATAAGAGTAACCGTTGTCTTGAGCGAACTGTCTGGCTAAATAATATATTTTCTGAGCTCTAAATGTCAATGCTTCCGACACATACACAGGCCTAGGAGGCCCCAGAAATTTGAGATTGCCGGTATTCAATTTATCTTCGTTAGCCTTTTTCTTGTTTAGATTTTTGACTCCTTGCAATATCTTTTCCTTTTTCAAGACGCTATTGAGTTCAACCATGATAGGTTTTATGTTTTCTTTATTAGTGGTTATTCTATAAACATCTCTAATATCAGAGTCTTGTAGCTCAACCTCTACAGCTTTAGCCAATGATTTAATAATGCCTCCGATTTCTTCTTTAGTCTCAATTTTTTTGTTATCATATAACACGGCGGGAACGTTACGTATTTCTATGCTGGTCGATTTATTTTTACGTTCAAGAGTTTCAACCTTTTCTTCCAATTTTAGAATCAGTTTTTTATCTCGTTCCTTTTCTTCTTCCAGATTTGTAAGAGATTTAAGGACCGAATCATATTTGTCTGACATCATTTGTAGGCTGTCTTTTAATTCATCATTTTGATTCTTCAGATCTTTAAAATTTTGAGTAACAGTAGCCGATAATGTCGTAAATAATCTTGTCATTTCAGCTTTTAATTGACCGTAATCGTCGTCTAGTTCACGTCTGCGTTTCCGACGTACACTAATATTGCTGTTACCACTCTGTTCAGAAGGAGTATCTGAGTCATTCGGTTGGGCAAGATATTTAACGGTTCCGTCGTCAGTGCCTTTGTGTCCGGGTGCTAATGTGCTAGGTTCAGGCGCGACTGGCGTTGAAGGTGGCGAGTGACTAAGGGGCATTGTATTTATTTTATTTACTTCAATCCAGTAGCAACAAAGTGTGCACTTATTGAATTCCTGTATCAATGTTCTGTTACAATTTTATATATGTAAGGTAATAGAATTATTGTAAATAAAAACTGCACACGAATCGCACACTAATAAAGGCCCGTAGTTGAGAGTCGGCAATGTGTAGATAGCAACCTCGCGAGAAGAAAGTCATAAGCGCCGTGCTAAGCGTGGCACTTACGCGTTATCTCGGGCTGCACTGTTGATTTATTTACGGCGGTACTGGGAGAAGATTTTTAAATTTGTAGTCTAGATTTCTAGGAAATTCCGCACTGATACACTATTGTCTTTGTGTAGGTTTGCAATTCTATATTTTAATCACAGAATTCTGTAAACTTAACGACACTCCCGAACAGATTATCGCGTATTTTAAATATTCTTACACGGAGTAACAACAAAAGATGTTTCACCGAACAGTATTACCGACACACCTCTCACAATACACAATATACAAAGTATTTCATTTATTTATTTAAAAAGGATATTTACAATCACAAATCTAAATGGAAACAGAAAGTAGGCAAATATAATTAAAATGCTGGAGACGGGCAGCCCTAACGCATGTTTACGTACCGCGCGGCTGTAGGCATTTATTTCTATCATGCGGCCGAGTTACACTACTGTATTATAATTGTACCGTGTCGTAGCGATGGTTGAATATTAACTGTGTGAGACTTGTTTATCAAGTCAGTCGCAACCGGTCCGCGCACAAACGAACAACATGGTGAAGGCACGTAAATATGTTGTTACTAAAAACTTCCAAGGTTTACCTAAACGTGATGACTTTGAAATAGTTGAATATGAAACTAAACCACTGCAAAATGGAGAGATCCTTGTTAAAGCGGAATGGGTGAGTGTGGACCCATATCAGCGCTCCTACAACAATCGTAATTCAGCTCCGTACGATCAATTCGGGTTTCAAGTGGGATTAGTTGAAGAATCCAAGGATCCCCGTTTCCCAGTTGGCACTAGGGTTGTCTCACACAAGGGATGGTGTGATTATACCGTCATTAACACGACAAATCCAGGCAAGAATCCTGTTGATAGAGTGTACAAGTTACCAACTTTGAAGGACTTATCAAATTCGTTGGGTATCGGTGCAGTCGGCATGCCAGGTGCGACAGCTTTCTTCGGGTTTCTGGAGCTATGCTCACCTAAGGCAGGTGAGACAGTGGTGGTGACCGGTGCTGCTGGTGCCGTCGGCTCGCTCGTAGGACAGATTGCAAAAATCAAAGGTTGTAAAGTTATCGGTTTCGCTGGCTCCGATGAAAAGGTAAAATGGCTGGAGGAAATCGGCTTCGACAAGGGTATCAACTATAAGACGGCCGACATCTCAGCATCGCTTAAGGCAGCTGCTCCGGATGGTGTTGATATCTACTTCGATAATGTTGGTGGAGAGATCAGCAGTTTAATCATAAATCAAATGCGGGACTATGGGAGAGTCGCAGTGTGCGGCAGTATCAGTTCATACAATGAAGACCCTACTAAGTTACCTAAGGCAAGCATATTACAGCCTTCTCTAGTGTTCCGTCAATTGAAGATAGAAGGTTTCCTGATATGGCGTTGGCTTGATCGCTGGTCGGAAGCATTTCCAGAAATCATCAAAATGATCAATTCAGGTGAACTAAAACCCCGGGAACACGTTACTGAGGGCTTTGATAAGATTTACGATGCTTTCGTGGGAATGTTGAATGGGGAAAATGTAGGCAAGGCAGTTGTTAAAATATAAAAAATGTAAGATGTTATTGTTACCGTGAAATTAAATTGATGTGTATTTTTTACTTTTTATGTCTGTACTGATTTTATACGTTTAACTTATTACGTATAAAACTTATGCAACAAAAATAGTAGGTATTGCCTATTTTATTCTAACCCAAATTTCTTAATACAGTTATCGTACATAGTTTATAACGTTACATGTTAATGTAACATTATATAATATGTACTACTAGTAGGTACTATATAATGCGTAATACTGGTAGGCACTAACTATGCTCATACTAATAAAACACGAAAACATGTATATAAGGACAAGGTTATTACCACGTTCGCAGAGTTCCATATTAGCAAGCTACTAATCAAAATGACAAGACAGTCGGAAGCTTCCAAACACCACATTACTCCTACAACAAAACAACGTATATATAACAGTTATAATAGCATTAGGTCTTATGTAATATAATAAAACATACGATATAAGAACGTGAACGTGAGCCTTATCTCTATAATCCACGTAAAGATAATAGGGGCACTATTGATAAAAATACATAGGCATGTATTTATGTAACTACCACAAAGTACAGTGGGGACAAAGGCCAAGGTTACGTTATTACTTTATTTATCAGTCGAATACAACTATACTTTTACTTCGAATTCTCGTTTGTCTGGCCTGCGAACAAAGTCTAACAAATAGGAACAAAGAACAATGGCAGAAACATATTTACCTAAAACTGAAGCGTTTAAAAAATTGACTAACAGTAAACTTACTAAATATTTTTTCTATGATTTATCATTATACCGCCATGTTTTATATAAGTCTAATAAGGGATTGGATATTTTTAAAGATTTTATTTGACCAAAGTACGTAATGTCAGAATCGCCATCACCAACTGACTAGGGATGCGTGATGATATTATTATGGAACGTTTTATCGATAATCGATGTTATAACTTTGGCTTGAAATATCTATCGAAGGTTCAACTATTATGATTATGAATTTGCTACTGCCCACGGGTTTACTCATAGGCTACCGTAACTAGTACTGTAGTGACTAAATCAACCTAATTAGAAATAATTTAGAATTTTTTGACTCTTTTTAAAAGATTTTTGCTACACCAAAATAAATAGAATATAGTTACGTTATTTTCCTACAGAAAAATACTAAAACAATATACTGCTTAGTGTGATGAGAAAAAGACATTGTAGGTTGATAACGGCACATAAATAGACATACATCGATATTTTTAAAATGTCGATACGTCGTCGTCGCACTTACTAGTCTTGTCGTTTGACACTTACACGCATGACTTACGTACCATTTCTCACAAGGCAATTGTAGTTTGTTTGGTTGCTTTACTTTTCTTTAATATTAAACTCTCATATATGTTTATTTTTATTTTAATTTCATAAAGTGTTACTCCAATATGCATGATGTGATGCCTTAAAATGTTTAATCTCAATAAAATGGATGCAAGATTTGAGTAAATAATGTCACAACTACTGACTGTTGAATAACTAAATAAATGCTCCCGCCTTGTGTAAATGTGTATTGAAGTACATTTATTCAAATTATTATTATTAATTTATTTATTTATAGCTAGTATTACACCTGGTTGGTAAGCGAAGATTTTTTTCTATTGTTTACCAATACATGCCAAGCAAATACCCTTCCTTCCTTCACCCATTTAGAGAGTCGGCTAACACTTTCTACAGCAAAATAGGGTTGCTTATAAGTAATGATAATGATGAATAATATTTTCGAATATATAACACACCGCCATCTAGTTTCAAACAAAACAATGACAATATTTTAGTACTTAACCTCGAAACATTCAAAATCCAATATCTTTTTTCCTAGACTTCTTTCGTTAGTAATTTTTTTATGAGAATATTCAAGAATAAATATTTAAACGCTGTCATTTCACTTCAAATAAAATTATGTATGGGGACCTGCCATTGTCCTTTAACAGTTTACATAGTTAACAGGTTTGCTGCTAAGAATCAATAGTAGGTATCTGCTTTTTTTATTTACCTACCTTCTAGAGATCGTCTAGCGTCATATTTATTGTAATAATAAAATAAAACTTTAATTTCGATTTTTTTAATACCTCGCTTTATCTCATTGACTAGATATCTTGAACCGTCATTGTACTGTAGATCCTTCCTTCCTTTTTTTACCAAACTAGGCTGGGGTCGGCTAAAGTCGGCTTTAAGTCTACCAGTGTACGGCTGAACTTCTAGGATTACTTAACTTTGCAATGTGCTAACCTACTCGAGCTCCTCACCTACCTGTACCACTTTTTATTTACTTCATACAAATCGGTTTAACAATGTTGATAAGTAGAACTACTTATAAGGAAATATTAGATATTCCAAATATTACATGCTTCTATGTGTGGTATTTGTATTAAAAAGGGGTACCTACAAATTAATGTTCTCCACGAATATACTTTTGGATAAATATTACTAAGTCTGTTTTAATAAAATACAATAGTTTATATATTTGGATAAACTTAAACTCAAACTTTATTTTATAAAATTTCCAAAATTGTTTGAAATCGTCTTCCATGTAGACTCTAAAGTCATAGATCAACACACACAAAAGCAACAATCTCTGTTTTGTCAAATACAATTTGATAACATCTGTATATGTATTATGTCTATTACGAGGTTTAGAATGAGTAGGTATATATGGCTTGCCAGGATATGTTACATAAAGGGCTACCTTAATATTCCTTTTTGTTTGTTTGTTCCTTGCAGTAGCGGCGTCTACTCGTATATAGCGGCGTATTATAACGGAAGCTCATCTTTAAACTTGTTAAAAATTTAAGTACGTGTTTTGTAATATAAAAAGTATTGATCATTCAATATTTTAGCACATCTCGATGCGTGTTACCGCGTTATCATGGGATAACATAGTAATACGTAATGTAATTAAAAATATACATATAAATATATTTTTAACAGACTTCGAAACGAAAAAGGCTCTCAAAGCGACTGCATATATTTTTGTATGTCTCACTATATCATTAAAATACGGGTTTGAATTATTTTAATTTAAATGAACAGGGTTGTAAACGAAGTAAGACCTATTTAAAAAACAAAACATTCCACAATTAATGGTGGAAAATGTAGAAAATTGGGAGACAGTCAAACCCTCTTTAACCTAAGCTTTCTGTTCAGTGCGTACTAGGTATGTCTTATTCCGCTAACGTATCAGGATTTTAACTCTCCAATTGAATGCACAGCCAAACACTTACTGGACGCATCAATATCATCGATGTAAAGCTTATCACTCTTGCTCATCACCATTAAGTGCAAATCCTTGGGTAACGGTTCCTCATTCATTGTCACTACTTCAAACTTCACGTTGCATGCTACACCAAGAAGAAGACATACTGCTGCTAAGAACGTCGCTGATAAGGTAGCTTTAGTGGTCTTAGCATGGAGTTTCTCGGCCTCAGTGAATGTCTTCGTTCTCAAGTACACCAAGCTAATTTCAATATAATCAATCAAGGCACCGAGGAGAGGCACGTTGGACTTGGAGTAAGTCCTAGGATTTAAGAAGGCTGGCATGACCCTGCCAGCCATAATGACACAGACAAAAATATCAAAAAAACTGTTATTACATTCTTAACTTGTCATGATTAATCTTTTAATGTTGTTGACATTGCTACTGGCGTTTCATACAGAAAGAACAATAATTTAGCTTTTTTTACTTCTTGAACGTACATAAGGTTTTATTTTCCGTTTTCGATTTTTCAGTTTCGGCCGACGACAGGCCAAAAATAAATAAGTACCTACTCGTATTAAGGGTTTCTTATAGTTTTATGAAGCTTTTTTTTACATCATTTTTAACTTTATATTATTAAGGTACATATTGCTTAAAATTCTTAGCTTTCTGCACATCTCATATATTTAAACAATATGTATTCCAAATGTTAGTCTTCCGTGCGCCTAGCTTGTGCCAGCGACTTCGTTCGCGTGGACTATGAAATGCCTCAGTTTGTTCGATTCCCGGACCGTGCAAAATTTTATAGGATTTTTGTGAAAGACAGAATAGCCTAAGTTACCGCTTATATAGACAGCTATCTGCTAGTCAAATATTATCAAAATCGGTCCAGCCGTTTTAAATATTACCCGGAACAAACAGACAGATACATAAAAAATATTTTAACTGGTTTTTAGCTTATCGTGCAAATAAGCATGAAAAAATCTATACTTTTGAAATTAAAAACAGAGACTTCAATTACAGAATAGATTTCTATAGATATAGATGTATAGATGAACAGTGGTAAATGTTTTATTTTATGAAAAATAGTTATCTACTGGGTACTTTTTTACTACTTTCCATTTCTTTATATTTTCTCACCTTTTAAACTTTCTTTGGACTTCTACAAATATTTCAAAACCATTATATTATACCATTATATATATAGATATGTATTCCAATTCTTCCGTGCGCAGGCAGAGTAGGCAACTGCTTAGGGGCCCTACACCGATGGGGGGCTTCGCTTTTGCTGTTAGTTCCTGAGGAGTTACGCATCAGTCAGGTGATGCTGCTGATGCTATTACTCATAACCCTTCATCGACTTACAAATAGCTGAATCTTCAGAAAAGGGTCCCCGAGGATTTATTGCCTAAGGGCCTCGACACGGCGAATCTGGCCCTGTACTCAAGCTTAATTATTGATACGGACAAAAGTATCCATCTATTTATTTTAAAGTAAACACAAAATAGTTTTTAAGACCTAAATACCTTAAATTTTGCTATTCCGGTATGCTAAATTTAGTAAAACACGTGCGACGAAAAATGGATTCTGTTCGACAATCGAAAGCGCTCAGCAAATTTTCGACAAATTTTCAAGGTAAAAAAGCTTGATAGATGGGTGCCCCACGACCTTAACGATCGCCAGCGCAACGTACGCGTCGAGACCTGCCTGGCGCTGCTCAACAGACAAAGAAATAAACGTTTTTTTTTTTAATTTCTTTAAAAGACAACGCCCGCATTAGGAATAAATCCTGTGTCGCGGGGACTTTACAAACATACATGAAACGGACACAAAGAACACCCAGACTCAGAACAACAATTTGTGGATCACACAAAGTGTCGTCCCATGTGGGGTTTGAACACACAACACTCGGCGCAGTAGGAAGCGGCGTGGCGACCGCTTAAACCACTACGCCATCCGTGCAGTCAATTTTGAAACGAATTGTTACGTGCGACGAAAAATGGATTCTGTTCGACAATCGAAAGCGCTCAACAAGTTGGTTAGACCCTGGTTCAGCACCAAAGCAATGCCCTAAACCAAAAATGACCTCTAAAAAGGTGATGGTCACTGTTTGGTGGTCTAGTGCGGGTGTGATTCACCACAGCTTTTTACAAAACGGCATGAGCATTAATGCAGATGTGTACTGTGAAGAACTGGAGAGAATGATGGAGAAGCTTGCACATCTGCAACCAGCTTTGGTCAATCGGTCGTCCCCACAGCTCCTTCACGACAATGCGCGACTAAATACTGCGCAACAGACAGTCTCCAAGCTGCAAGAGCTGGGGTTGGAAGCTCTCCCTCATCCGCCATACTCACCAGACCTTGCACCTACCGACCATTACTTTTTCCAAAATTTAGACAACTTTTTAGTGGGTAAAAAATTCAATTCCCGAGAGGCAGTACAAAATGCCTTTGAACAGTTTGTTGCCTCCCGTCTGGCTGATTTTTACAAGAAGGGCATCAATAAACTGCCAATGCGTTGGCAAAGATGCATGGGTGATTACTTCGAATAACAGAAATAAAAAGGTTTGAAAAAATAAGTACTTTCACTTATTGCATACAAAACGGCAATTTCATAGGTAAAGACCTATTATTAGATGATATAGTATGTATCATCATACATAACTCATTATTTCATCATCATTCATCATATTAAACCTTAAATATAATGAGAAATGCGGATTGACGTAGATATTTAACGTTTATTTATTTATTATAAAACAAAACAGGTAATATGATTTGTATTTTGAAGACAGTTTATTAAAAAAAGTATTTTATAAAATTTCAATGTCTGTATTGTATAAGAAAACATTAGACTTATACAAAATATACATCTACAAGTACCCTTATAAAGAGTCCAACTTATCAAACTCATCTAACACTCCCTAAGATTAAGCTCACTCACTCTCTGTACATCACTCTTTGTACATAACAACAGATGTACGAGTCTCGACGCGATACACTACAATAAATAACTTAATTTTATTTAAAAATAATTTAGAGGCAAATTCCTGCGCGTACTGTTAAGTGCCGCGAATCCGTTGTAAGCGTTAGATCAACAATGTTTATAATACCTTTGGTAGTTTTAAACTTGTAATTAAGAGAGAGAAACGAGAGAGAAAGAAAAATAAAAACAAACTTACTCTAAACAATGTTCTACAATAGAAATGATTTTCAATGGACAAGTCTTTTTTACACACATCCTACCAGTATGTCTGTGTTCTGTAAATAAATAGTCGTTTTATTAATCGTTTTATAAATAGACGGAGTTTGCGAAGATCCTAAAAACAGGACAATGAAAACAATATTTTTATAATAAATTACTGTTTATGTTAAGAACGACATCACATTTTTTTTCATAATCTCGTTTAAAAAACTGCATTTATTATAATGTAATCTAATATTCAATACCTTTACGAGTTTTAATTATGGCTTTAATCGTAGTGATTTTTAAAATGTCATAATAGAATTCAAGTGTTCTTGATATATTTGTATTTTGTTTTAGACACTATACAATAGCAATGAAAATTTCACTAAATAATAATTTAGTTATAAAGATTCTGCCACATTTTGATCAATAAGTTTCTACTAATTATTACATTAATTTTAATCGCGCCAAGACTCTTACAGATTCGCAACAAAGTTTTCTCACACCAGATTCACGTATTAGCTCTTTTAGCTGCTGATGAGTCTGCGTCTCCATCGCTCGATTTTCTTTTTCTTTTGATCAGGTGAGAGATGTCAGATGCCGCAGGTTTAGGTTCTGAAGAGCTGGAACTAGCTGCGGCAGCGCTGGTGGACGAACCTTCTCCACTGGGTCCGGATCCGTTGGTAGAGCACAAGCTTTCACGAACTCGCTTTATGGTCTGTAACAGAAAAAAGGATTTGATAGTACTTTTTGTACTCGGTTTATAAATAATTTCTTATTGTAGGTTATTACATACGTTATTGCGCTCATTCATAAATCTATCATAGCCTTTAGCTCGAGATAGAACATCTGAATCACTGCTCAGACTTTCACAAACTTACTAAACTAACTTACGAAACATTTAGAAGCTATTATTTCATTATTATTATTACAGCAAAACGTTTTGAAAAAAATCTGTTTCATTTAACACGCTTTTATTGCAAAATTTTCTTCCTTTATAGCAACCAGTCAGATACTGGTTGCTATAAAGGAAGCAATTTTTTCTATAATTTAGCAACTGGTTCCGGAAACATAATTATTACTGACGAGAATTAATTAAACTTTTCTACATTATCTTAGGGAAGGAAAAGGGATTTATAACTGCGTATACTACGGACTTCAGAAACATTACAAATATTATTCTGTGTAAAAATTAACCTCCCCTCTATGTTATGTTTATGTTCCAATTATATATTAAACACGTAAAAGAATATTTTAATCCATTATTAATGCAACCTGAGAGATGGAACACTTTCTTCTAATTTAAATGTACCCAAGTAAGTACCAATCTCAAATTGGTTCACAAATTGAAGAAAAAATGTAGATATCAAACAGTATAAAGAACCTCCTTCTTTTGGCAATCGATTAAAAATATTCTTTGCAAGATTGAAGCATTTTTCTTTTTATACAATAAGTCAGCACACGGCCCACTTGGTGGAAACTAGTCAATTACGTATATGAAGGTTTGTTACGGCTTTGATATCACAGGCTGCCAACCCTATTTTCTTTGCGATCTAGGGTCACCATTTTCATCAGTAGAAATACAACACTAGTAGTGCCAGGTGTGTTTACCGGACCTTTCAAACAAGAAGGTTCTGAATTCAGTGAATTGTGACAATAAGGGAATAGGTGATTCTTCAGTCCTTTTACTTCTGCGTCATTACCCACAACATAATACTCGTAATCTTTGAAAACAAACTATATATATTCTAGTCATTATGCTTGATGTGTTATGTGCTTGATTTAAGTAATGGAGTACTTTAGAACAATTACTGACGGTGAATTTAATTTCTGCACGAGGTGAACGCATATTTAACCGAATGAAGAAAACAGTTTATTACCATCCATCATGATCTAGAATCTAGGCGCATTTAAATCGGTATACTTTTTAAAAGTTAATAATGTAGAGTTGCAGTTCCCGCCCAATGAACCCACTTCAATCGACCAGAAATCTGCATGGTTTCACTACTCTGTCTGTAAGTATACTTACAGAGTATATAGCCTGATTAACAAAAAACCATCAATGGCCATGAGCATAAAACACACAAGAATAAAATTACCACATGGCCATTAATGTATTGGGAAATGAGCTGAAATAACAACACAGGATACAATTTTGAACATATTTATTTCAAAATGTTGCATAAAACAATACAAAAATGGCCTTGTGGTAAAATTGTAAGCTTAAAATTAACATGATTCAGATCAAGTTGTACCAGTACATTGAACTTATAATAACTATGATTATTAAGCTAGTTTACTGCTAATAAATAACTGTAACAAAATGCATTATTATATGATATATATATATATATATATATATATATTATATACAGAAAAGAGTCCAGAATATTCAATTTAGAAAAGTAAAAACTCTTAATGTGCCATCATCATTATGTTTGTCGCACACACAATAACTGTAGTTGTCCAAAACATAGCTTGATACCGGTGACATGTAAAATCTAGATTTATGTTGTTTATTATTCTAATTTTACAAAGTATTTTGGTCATTCCTCTCACTTTCCTGCAGTTTCTTTTTCTTTTAAAAAGACAACAGCGCTAGAAATATATCTTGTGTCGTGGGGGACTTTACAAACATACATGAAACGGACACAGAGAACTCCCAGGCTCAGACAAAACATTTCGTGGATCACACAAAGTGGTTGTCCCGTGTGAGGATCAAACTCATAACACTCAGCGCAATAGGAAGACTGGCGAGGTGACGTTAAACCGCTACGCCATCCGTGCGACTTTGTAGGAGTGATTTAGTTAGAAGAACGGAAATGTGTAACAGGAAGTCAGAGAAACATGTCCTATGGAATTTGAATTATTGCGACTATTGTAGGGTTTGCTCATTTCTTTTTTTTAACCTAATAGAAACTCACTACTAAAGGACTTGATATCTATTGTTTATAGTAATCAATAATATTACAAGCCTTATACTTTTGTGGCAACTGTCACCATTGTCAAGTTATATTGTGGCAAATATAAAAAAACTGAAAACTTTACATTATTAGTATAGATTTTATGTTAATGATTTAGATTGACTTTTAATTGTGTCGTTTATAAGTTAACTTTATTAAAAAGTAATAAAAATCAGTCTAATATTTTACCTATAAAGAGAATATATTGAATAATAATTTTCATCAACATATTTTGTTTTGGATAATACAAAACTGCACATGCAAGTTTATTCCCTAAAACTTCTAACAACAACCTTATAGTGATGCTATGTGGTGTATATTTATTTGCCCATTACTAGTCCTCACACAACAATAATGCACAAAAAATTGTGCTACCTAAAATTTTCACTAATTTTTAGATTATCTTTCTAAAAAAAAACATTAAAAAAAATTATACTGTCATTATAGCTTAATACGAGAAGGGCTCTTAACAAACGACATGTTGTGTACAGGACAAATAAGAATTTAAATTGTCAACTCATATTCTTTGATAATTAATTTGGGTCATCACAGAAAACTATGCTACAAGAATGTCGACCACCGTCTACGTTATAGAATGTCGGTACACGGTGAAATTACTGGGAACATTTGATGTGGGATAAAACAACTTGAATTTCTGGCGTCATCGCAAATGGCTTAATCGATTTCTTTTTGTAGAAAAAGTACTGTTAAATTGCTTATTAAAAATGTCATTTCAAAATTAAAATGTCTCACTCTGGTATCCACACTATTAATTAATACACTAACAATTCTTAGCCTTTCACAATTTTTACAGATCCATTAACAACCTGACATAAGGCACTCACTCTCATACAATACAATATTCAAAAAATAATACTGATTTCCACAGTCCTACAATTTAAAAGTAATAATTATCACAAACATTGGCAGGAATTCCGCAATTTGGCACATTATTATTAAGAGAGCTATTTACAGCTACATTGTGTCATGGGAATGTTTACGTTTCTATTTTGTAACACGCATTTAAGCTACCAGACTCACTCATTTACATAACTACTTTAATATAATTATAGGCACATTATAGCATTATACCTTTGAGCTTATTCTATTTAATAGGTAAATTGTAATGCAGACTCAGCTTGAGTCAAACTTCATTCTGATGCCATCATCTTTCAAAAATTAACAAGGAATGTTATAATCGACAACACCAGCTTGGAATAATTAAAATTAGCATGTTAGAGTATCTGAATTGGATTATCCTGGCATATCCCTGCAAGCTAATATCCAACTATTTGGAACTAACCTTCTATCATATGTCTGCATTTTAAAACCACAAGACTATCCAAGTTCAGCAAATTATTCCTTATGGCATCTATATACTACGATACTAAAAACCTAGTAAAAAATCGAAAATAACGAGGTTTCAAGAGAATTAACTCCTATTTAAGACTGACACTCCAACTGACAACGACTCTGCTCTTTAATTATCAAGTTTCGTAACATTTTTCTAGTATCTTCAAGGCAATCACAAGGTCTTACCTCTGCCTTATAATCCATCATATCCTGAATCTTCTCTTGTATTTCAGGTAGCAGTTCTTTTAACTCCTTGATTTCTCCTTCGACGGAATAGAACGGGTCTGCAGTGGTATATTTCTTGACGGTAGCGTCTTCAGAGACAGAAGTAGGATTCTCTAGCGTCTTGATGCGTGTCTCTAGAATGTTCGCTGCGTTTTTGAAATGCGTGATGGCGTCCTCGAAGTTGGAAGCGAGGGAATTCGCCAAGCCTGTAATGATTATTAATAATATTTATATTTCTATGTAAACTATTAGGTGGCTGCTGGTCAAATGTCGGAAATACTTTTTTGACTTTTAAATGTTGTGCATTGTCTTTGAGAGCTGTTTACGTATTATTTTTAAATAAATATTTTGGCATCCTGCACTCGACTATAAATATTTTCAAATTTGACTTTTTTGTTTTTACAATTTTATTAAAAATGAGTACGTCAAGTAGTATCAGTTTTATTAAGACTTCTCAGTTAGGTAACAGTGAATTCTTAAAACTAGGATTTGAAGGTTAAAAACGCGGCGATCCACGTATTATAATCCCATTACCATCTTATATTTATTTTTATGATACTGTCAAATACATGAAACTATTGCTTGAATTAAATTCGCGGGATTTAAGAATCTCCAAGACCCCAAGTACCCAGCAATATCTGCATATTGAGATATTTTTTGCTATAGAGTAATAAAATCGAGTGATTCTCGTCGTGTATCAAGCGATAATATATTAAGTTTGTAGTCGCTTAGCGTAACTTCGCGTCCTTTTTGAGATACCAGCGGAATAAACTAGATGATGCAAGAACCTTTTTTGAATGCATTCTATTCTAAGACTATGCGTAGCAAAGTGCGGCCGCCAAACGACCGAACAGTATTCAAGAACGCTTCGAACAAAACAGTTAATAATAACATTTAATAACACCAAATTAAGTACAAATTTTCTAATACAACATAATTTTCTTAGGTTAGTTAGGTACACAGTATTTTTTCTTTTTTTTCCTTTTATCTTTTTTACCTTGTACATACATAGTATTTCACCTTATTGATACACTTAGAAAAAAAAAGAAACAGAATACACACAAAATCATTGATCAATGACCCCATGCTAGGAAAATCCTTCTGGAGTCATCCCTAAAATAGATGTATAGTTTTGGGGTCATAGACATCAATCAGTACACACATGCATTAACATTTCTATAAAGCCTTACCAATTTGATAGTGAGTTTCGGCGATACGCCTGTCATCGCTGCGATACAATTCTTTCTGAATATCCAAGCAGCTTTCTGAAAAGTGAACAGGTAGGTTTATTTTAATTTTCAAGAGGCAGAAGTGCGTTGCAACACTAAGCTCGTGCATCAGAGGACCCAGTGCGAGTTTATTTCACATCAACTTGCTCTCGACGTTGCGATTGGTTAAGAATTCGATGCGAGCCAATCGCAGCGCCGAACGCGCTCACCGTGACGATCGAGTAGATGTGAAATAAACTCGCACTTGGCCCTCAGAATAAGTTGATAAATAGGAATTAAAAAAAGGTTTATTTTTTGTGAGACCGTGGCATCATTTCGTTCGAGCCTGCCGTGGATGATTCCTCCATGGTTAAATGAAGACTGGAATTTAAGACGAATTCTGAATGAATAAATATGTTGAGATTTGGCAAATACGTTTAAAAAATGTTTCATTTTAGACTAGCTGTCGGAGCGTAACTGTGGACAGAGCGGCACATTTTGGTTGCATCGCAGAGAAATTAAGTATAAAACTAAAGCGAGAAATAAATGAAAATAATCTTTGCAATGCAGTATAGTAGGTATATCGCTGCAGAATGCTATCGTATATTAATCGCTGCAGAACTTTTTGAGCTTTTAAAGCATCATCATCAACAGCCATTACTAGTTGACTGTCGGACTTAGGCCTCTCCTTAGAAAGAAGGGTTTGGCCTACTATACCACGCTGGCCAGACGGGTTGGTATAGGGTTTGTTTCAAGTTTTCCTTCTCTTTGCAGTGCTGTTGTCCTGCGTAGTTTGTTCCCTTAGTCGCCTCTTACGACACCCACGGGATGAATAGGGGTGATGACATTCCGTATTCTTAATCCGTCACCGTACGTCACACAAAGCATATATGTTTCAAAAACTCAAAAAGTTTTTTATTTATTATGGGGAGGCCTTCGTTCAGCACAGAATTGTAATAGGCTGATGATTTTAGTATTTCTTTTGACGCTAAATTCGATAACAAGAACTAGACATTTTATGAACATATGTTCGTCGGATCCTAAGTTTCCAACGGATAGGCAGTGTGAGCAGCGAGTATTTCAGTAAGAAATGAAAAAGTGAGGTGGTGCAGCACTTACGCATGTCGCTGACGGCCTTGTCGTAGGTCTCGCTCTCGAGCGCGACCTCTCCCAGCGCGAGGAGCACCTCGGCCAGGAGCGCGCGCGCGGCGCTGCTGGGCGCGCGCGACACGCGCCGGTACAGGATGCTGCGCGACAGGTCTGCGCGGGAAACACATCAATATTGATAACTCGACTTCCGAGCGTTACGTAACTGTTATTATTCAGTTAATGACTTTAAATTATAGACTTTGATATTACTTTAGACGATTAGTTTTTGACAATACTTATGCTTATTTAATTTTCCTTTTTCAATTAATATTGCTTACATAAATATACACTAAATTATACGCTATACAAAAATAAATAAAAAATAGAACTTTCTCAAATATTAAGTTGTTAAAAATCGGTCAAATCAAACTTTCATAATAGTTTAGCCTTATTACGGCCACTCTTTTTAAATTACCATATAATATAGTTGGAATGTTGTTGATGTTGATGCATTGTTAATGGACAAATGGTATACTACCTATTCTGAATTTGTATTCTAAAGACATAATAATAAATTACATCAAGACAATAAAAAATCATACAATTTTATTATTTGTTGTGTGTGGATACCTCACAACCTTTAACTTTGCAATCTGACTCACTAACCACCAGACGGATAAGTTACACAACATACATTTTTATATATACATAATGTAAGAGATGGTATAACAAATACTGAAATAGTGTATTCAGACCATCATTCTTAAAAAAATTAAATTTATAAAAAGTTGATGAATTTTCCGGCAGACAATTCCAATGATTATTGACTCAGAATAATGGTCTGAATACACTATTTCAGTATTCGTTACTCATCCCTTACACCCTGTATATTTCTTCTGCGCGTGCGTATGTGATGTGAACTTCTCCTAAATGGCTGGATCGGTTTTGATGTTTTTTTTTGTGTTCAAATGGATTCGGGAAAGGTTTAAATTCACTATTCGGTCCACTTCAAAATGATTTTTTTAGTTTATTTTAAATGTGTTTAATGTTTTTATTTAAATTTATAAGTTGTTTTGAAATTTTCGTGTGTGTACAGGACCACATCTGTCAGGTCCACCAGTATATGATAAATTCATATTGATAATATTTTACATCTGGCATTAGCAAATTTCCTAAAAAGCACATGATCTAAAAACTTTTTTATAATTTCAGGGCTTATACAAGGTTAGGCCACTTCACCTTTAGAGCCTATATTAAAATTAACACATTTTTATAAGTTTATTAATCTAAGTCAAATATTACCAAGCATTTCCCAGGCGAGTTGCAAATTATCAACATCATCTTCATTTTCCAAGGTCTCAGGAGACTCATCGTCATTTGAATCAACATTTGTGGTAACCTAGCAATAAAACAACAAAGTAAGTAAAAAAATCTTGCAAACAACACTTGTTTTTGTAAGCAAAACACATCTCTTTTAAGTAAGACTTCAACACACCGGATTCTCTTGATAGTAAATTAGTAAAATATACATCACAGTCTATCTTAAGGTATAACACATAGGGGATGTTTTTGTATAATGTGCCAGTTCTGATTTACCTACATTAAATGATCTTTTTAAACATAATAATTATGTCTTATGTTGAAATATTTGACAGTGAAAAATACAAGATTTTAAAATAATACTGACGATAATGCATAGGACAAGGAGGGAGAATAATAATATATTAATATAATATACCTCACACATCTCACACACGGCAGTCTAATCCCAAACTAGGCAGAGCCTGTACTATGGTAACCAGACTGCTAATAAACATACTTGTATATTTATAAATACATACATATTAAAGATAAATTACACTCAGACACAGATCAAATGACCGTGCTCATTACACAATATTTGTCCTGGGTAGGAATCGAACCCATGACTTCCGGCATAACAGTCAGGGTCACTAACCACTAGACCAACAGGCCTGTCAGAATAATAATCATATTTTCACACAATTTACACACAGAATGTCTGTGAGGTCAGCTAGTCGTAAATACTAATATACTTACAGGCACCTCTGCAACTTCAGCATTAGTGCTGCTACCAGGTTCATCTTCTTTGGTGGTGGATTGAGCTTCACTCTTCTCTACCTCTTTATTCTCTGTCTGTGCTTTAGCTGGTGGTGAACCCTCCATTTTTTCTGCGCTTTGTTCATCTGCATTGTCTTCTTGTTCTACTTAGAGTTTGTACAACACAATTGTTGATGCAAGCATGAGATAAAAATCATTATAAAAATATGAAGGAGCTGTAAACATACTAGAGGTAATCAGCAGTGCTATTCTCTAAGGAAACAGCCTTATGTACAGCGCTGTAGCGTCGAACTTCAAACAAACTCAGTTTGAAGTTCGATGCTGTGGCAGCACTGTACTGTACAGCGCTGTACATAAGGCTGTTTCCTTAGAGAATAGCTCTGCTGGTCTTTTATTGTAGTATGTTGCTAAATAATTCTCTCACCAATGTTTTTCAAAAATTTGCCAACTTATGTTTCTGATTTATAAATATGTTATCTATACAGCTAAATTGCACTGTCTGTTTGCAATATTAAAATAATAGTTTTTTTTCATGTTCACATGGTTATTTGCATGATACCTATGCCTAAAAACCTATTTTTTTTCTTTTTCTGCGCTGGCTGGACTGATTTTGATAATATTTTACTACCAGGGAGCAGTCTATATAAGGAGTAACTTAGGCTATTTTTCCTTTCATAAAAAGTCTTTAAAATTGTACCAAGTCTGGGAATCGAACCCACTAAGGCACAGTTTTTAAATTCCATGTGAACGAAGCATGGGTACCAGCTAGTCTAAAATAAAGTACATACTTTACAGTAATAAATAATACACAATATGCTTTATAATCTCCATCTATTCTGACAATATACTATTGAACAATTGATGTGTTGTGTTTCTTAAGAACTCAGCATAAAGAAGAAGACTATAAGTAATAATTATCAAATTAGCTCTACCTTCATTTTCTTCTTCCTCGTCAGCATTGCCACTGCCTGGCATACCATCACCAAGAACCCCACTTTCCTCTCTGGACAAACCAAGTAGTGCTTTACCATACCTACGGGATTAAAGTAATGTATGGTTATTGACAGTCAGGATCCTATAGCACAAGTCCTGCCTAGTTTGGGATCAGATGGATGTATGTGAGAAGTGTCATATTATTACTAAGTTTCAAAAAAGTAAATTAATGGGTACATAATTGTTTTTCAATAGAAGAATACAATTAGGACCGTCAAAAATTGATACTTTAAACAGATATCCAAATATTTCATATACAACTTTGATTTTGAGGTATCTCTTAAAGTGATAAAAGTTGTGATGAACAAAAACTGTAGAATAAAAAAAAAATAACAGCACTTCAGTAGTTATTAAGTTAGTTTTTCGAATTTTCATTTAATATTACAATACTTTAAAAATATTTTAAGATGGTCTACAATGAGTTATAAAGTGAGGTTTAGAGTTTAGTCTCTAACTTTATTATAAGAACTGTCATACAAATTTTACTGTGTAATAGTGTAGTTAAGTATATTTGCAATATTTAAAATTTCATTGCTGCCTAAATTTAGCAGGTATAGTCATTTGTACATGAAGAAAAAGAAACTTTTAAATATTACAATACAATCATTTATAAAAGCTTAAAATCTACTTACGCTTAAGGTATGTAGATTAAAACAAACATCTCTCACCCTAAACACATATACCTTCTCCGTATCGTAGTGAGTAAAAACAATAAGTACCAACTTAAATGTGTATTGTACAGGGAAATAAAGGAGGACAATTCTTTTTTCTAACTTTGACTAGAAATTTCAATCCTAGTTCATCACAAGTCCTCAGAGGCCAGCAGCTTATTATAGTAGTTATGTACTTTCAAATGTTATAAATCCAAGTATGTAATAAACTTACCATAAGTATGCTTCAGCACACTGGTCCGCAGTATCTCCGTGCTCGTTTGCTAGTGCTTCACAAGCTTTCGCTAATGTACTAGCAGCAACATTGAAGTCTCTCACGGCAAGATGTCTGCGGCCAGCAGCCAACAGTTCAGTGGGACTTGATGTGGATACTTCTGCAGTTTCTGCCATCTTATGACCAAATAAATTTACGTTAATATTGTATACTAAAGAAAACTACTATAGACCACTAAAGTATTTGGGACTACATAAAAAAACACATGCAGTCTTTATACCTTAACTTTTTTTTATTCGTAGATCTAATGTCCATTGTAACAAGTAGTAAAAGAGTTACAAACTGAAAGACAGTCAGTGAAAGAAAATAACACTCCTTTTTTTCATTTCCTACATGTAACGGTCGGCGACAATTTAACAATACCTACCTACATAAATATATACAATAGAAGACTGCAAAAGTCCACGTGGTGGTGTAAAATCAGTTTTCTAGTAACAAATATTACAGGAATATTTTATGATATTACTTTGCTGTCCAAAATATCAAACAAATTCAAAAAATTAAAAATTTTAGTTGGCGGAATCGCGCCAAAATGTCAGGTTCGGCATCCGTTAACGATGTAAGTAAAATAGATTTAAATCATATGTACTTACTTTGTGGTTTTGTTCTTGTTAATCTTACAATAAAACTATAATTTAGCAATTTTTCAACAAAGATAGGTCAATCAAATTCGAATAATATTGTATGCGTGTCGGCTAAATCTATTGGTTTCGCAGCTGCCCGCCCGCTTGCACCTTCGCTCGGCGTTTTGCAACAGATTAAAAATATGTGAATGGCAAACGTCAACATTTAAAGTGTCAAAGTACATATAGATAAAAATCGTATTTGGGTCTATGATTTCAAAGCATAGCTTTTCTAACCCACTCGATGCAATCCACGTAAATCTTAGAAAGGTATATGAAATCGTAGGCTTAAATTAATCGTTGAACTGTCTGAAAATTCTTTGTATGCAAACAAATCATAAAATAATATGTGATAAATATGCGATTGAGCAAGTAAGAGTAAAAAGTATTTAATCGAGTTAGACACGAAAATACTTGGGTATTTTTGTTGATATTGGTCTCGATATTAAAGGCGTGAGGATTATCTGTAATCTGTATGAAAAGTAAGTAGCTACTACAACAGTGGAAAATGAAGATATAGATAAAACTAGCTGAACCTACCCTGCAAAGCTTCGCTGTAGCATATTGTGGTTGCAAAAAGTAGAAAATAACTATTTTTGAAGCGTGTTGTTTATCATGTCAAAATTTAAGTTCATTAGGTGCAGAACTGTTTAGGTTTCTGAAACGTACACACATCAACTTACTTCGTACTTTCTTTTTTCTGATTGTCATTTGTTCCTTGTTTATATTAAAGTTTTATTTTTGTCATTATAATCTCTTTTTTTGTTGCTGTTAAGATCTAGAATCAGTTACCAGCAGTTTAATTATTTTCGGCAGTATTGTCGAAAAATACGAATAGTGAGTCAACTCAGCTACTTAGGGGAGCAACACTGGGACGCGGTATGAAGGAGAGCGGAGTCTCCCTCCTGCCTGCGATGTTGCGGTAGTACCGGCTGGCTTCGCTTGCTAACCGGTACGCCTGTTGAAGAGTGTCACGTACATCAGTTAAACACGTTTGGTGCAACAAAAGATCACTCATCATATATTTAGTGGTCTAATATACACTTATACAGGGTTACTGGTTAAGTCTACCTAGACCTACCTAGACACTCTAAGGGGTTGAAGTTGTCATAATTTCTGTCTCAATTTTGATTTATTTCCTAAAATACATGCCAAGTTTTCAACTAGATAGTCTAGTTACTACCGGGTTGTACGCTAATTCTTAATACTCCCGGTCTTTCATCTAGGTTTTTTTCTATGAATTCTGATAGTATCCTAGTTTGTTATACCTTTTTAGATAGCTCATAATACGAAAGTACGCATGTTTTTAACACATCTGCAATTTTACTGTTATAGATTTTTTTTTATTTTCGTCAAAGAAAGAAAAATCAAATTTCTTTCTTTTTGCACAAACCACCTACTTCAGTCGAGTTTGTTAAGTTAACAATAATTTTGGTAATGAAAATTATAAAACAATGTAGAAACAATAAAAAAAAGAGAAATAAGGGATTTAAGTTCTGAAAAAATTGTATTAGGCAAAATTTATAAGTAATGGACACATCTAGTCTAGATTTTTTTTTGTCTGTCGCATAAAATGAATAATAGTAATAATTACTTGGTGTTATTATTACTTGTAACTTCACCAGCTACCTACCTACCCAAATTAGGATATTTACGTCTGCCAATAACTCTGTGTGACTGAAAAAATACTAAAGAACCATTCAGAATTTAGGATAACATATTTAGCATATACATTTCAGGATAAAGACATCAAACCGGGACCAAGAAATTATTAATTAGAAGCCTACAGAATTCTAATAGGGGATTTCTAAAGAATGTTTAGAAAGTAAATAAAAAGGAAATTAAGTAAAAAAATACTGTGTTACGTCAAGATATTTAATTCTCTGTAGAATAGAGAATTGAAACTTTCGTAATGCTTTTTACATCTTTAAACACAAAAATGTGGCAAGAAAACAGACAGAAGTAACAATCTAAGACTGTGTTTTCCAGATGTTAAAGAAGTGTGGGATAAAATTGAGACAGGATTGAAGATGAGTATTTTCTGGAGTCAGATCCACACACCACAAGTTCTCTCCACAGGACGTTACTTCAGTAAAGTACCTACGTAAAAAGATTGATAAGTGGGACCGAGGAGATCGGTACCACTTATCAATTCCGTTGAATCTTGTCATTAGCAAATGAAATCGTCAACGAATACATGCTCAATGGTCTCGATGCACGTCGTGTTTCAAAATAGGTGTGGTGTTTCAAAATATCGCCAGTAGCAATTTAAATAGAATTAACAAAGACCAAGATGCCGCACTTTACATGGGTGTCGCTAAGTTTATACCAGTCTTCCCCTAACCATAATCTTACTCACTCGAAGACAACATGAAAAATTATTGTCCTTTTCAATTTCTATCGTGATTCGGACCACATTTAAACATTTATGTTATATTTATATATTACATAAAATTAGAAACTGTCTAGCTGATTCCAGTGAATCGATTGACACACAGCTGATACCACTGGTTCCTAAAATGATGTAAGTGTGCACTTAGAAGGGATTTTTGGAAATTCATCGCCTAAGGAGTTCAAGAGAGGGTTGAAAGTTTGTATGAAACTTGATCAAAGAACTTTATAATGATAAAAAAATGTATTTTAGGTTCGAAACTATGGTCTAATTTTCTAGTCAACGTGAGTTGTGCATAAATATTAATAGTTTCATGATGCGAGTCGATCCTCTTTCACGCAAAGATTACTTCATTCTATTGGACGAAAAATATAGGACCAACGGAAGTTGGTCAAAATTAATGAAATAATTTTTCATGCAAATTGTACTGAGGCTGGTTAAAAGCTTATGGATCAATGTTCTGTGTTTTATAAGATAAACCGAATCAGTATACAAGAGCCATTGTATTGTATTAGGCTTCGATCAAACAAATTGATTGTTTGGATCTTCTACGATGTCTGATGTCTCTATCACACGGACGAAGTCGTGTGCAAAACTAGTATTATTATACTTACTAGAAATGAGTGAAATGACTGATGTCAATGGAATGGAAATAGAATTTCGACTGTCGTGAATATCTTGTTTTATCTCATGTAAGGTTAGCATAACTGGAACCGTCACTGTCATCCATACTTATATGTTTGTTTGTTTGCTTGTTACGCTTTCACTTTTTTCACCTTTTTACCGCGATAACTGACATACACGCGAACAAAATCTAGTAAATCTATAAATCGGATATCCGATATTTGTTAAAATAAACATTTTACGGAGTAAGAAAAGTTCTTTTGCGATTTCAAAGATCTATTTACAAATTGGAGTATTGTAATTAATAAAACATCCACATACTTTATCTACATAGTTTTAATTTTTCGATTGGCACTTTAATTTACCTTTTATTTTTTGTCAGTGTTTGACTTGTCGGTGTTATTAATCAATTATTGGATTGAGTAAGTATATAATGAAGAAACAGTTAATTGTTTCACTAAATTAATAAATAATTGCGAATAAGTATCTATATCTTATCATTAATGGTGCAGGGTGCATCATGTAATGACACAGGGTGGATAGCTATCGACTTTTCCCCCACCTCGCCCGCTGGTCCGTTCACCCGCCCAATCAAACTTTAGGCACGTCTGCAAATAAACGTGCTGCTTATCGATAGCGTTATCGTTTTAACCATAATTCTGCAGCTACCTATATGTATCATCAATGCCTAGTTGTATTATCGTATAGCTTTATTACCAAGTTTTTCTTTTTTATTTAAAAATTGAAATACTAAAAACCGTAGGAGCGCCATGCACAAATAGGTTGGCTTGACCCGAGTGACATCACGGCCTGACAGAAAATAGTGTTAACCAATTCATTAATTACTTGTCACCGAGTGAGTAAAGTTAAGGGAGCCCAAATACCTGCCCCCGCCCCCCCCCCCCTCTTCTCACCTAATTATGCAGGGGGGCTCACAGGACGGCAACGCACTTGTGACTTTTGAGTTTCAAGTGTTCTTGGGCTGCAGTAGTCACTTACCGTCAGGTAACCTATACCATAAAAGGTATGTACGACAAGGAACTAAGTACTTACTTTATCATGTTACAATTATTATTTATCATCTTCATTATTCTTTACATAGTATAAAATAAAGTCGCTTTTTTGTGTTGTACTCTTAGATCTTTTAAACTAAACAATGCATTTTAATGCGGTTTTCACTAATAGAGAGCGTGATTCAAGGGGAAGGTTTATATATACAACACATGCATATTATAGTAGAGAAAATCCGAAAATTTCTAAGATTTGTCGTAAAAAAACATGTTTTTGTGAATTCCAAACGCTGGCTAAACCTTGCGAGATAGACCAAACTAATGTACTACGGAATTGTATATTTGTATATCTTAAAAAGATTAACAAAAAAGTTCGCAATGGAATATGTCTATCTCCTAAGGATAACCCACAGTAACCATTTTCATCTTTCAAATATTACAAAAAAAGAACGGTTATTTACGGAGGTATTTAAACAATACATTATTATTCCTTATCCAATTAAATACGTTAGATAGGTTGTGCATTTCATGTAGATAAAATTGCTCTGTACAGCATATAATTAAGACGAGTATATTAGAAGATATTCGAGGTTCAAAATACGGGGGCCCAACCACCGTCGAGCCATACGTCCGTCCCGGGTGGCAGCGGCCGGCAGGATCGGAGCGGGCCTACATGCGTAGTATAGTCCTATCATAATAATAATATAATATAATTAATTACTCCATACTGACACCACATTAGTAGTATGAGCAGTATCTACATTGCACCCGTGCGAAGCCGGGGCGGCTCGCTAGTTACTTATATAATATATCATATTCTCATATAACACTTATTGAAACGTAAACACATAACCACTTACATCAAGAGCGCAAAATAAATCACAGAATTTACGTGTATCGATAAAATACTTTTCCTTAGCCACAGCACTTATATAGGCGTACCGCTTCATTTTCCCACTTTCCCTCAGTTCGTCTGCAACGGGTGGACCGCTTACTCGTTCCAGAGCGCCATCGCTCCGCGCATCAATTATAACCCCTTTATTGACATTCCAATCACGCGATTTGAAAATAACAAGTTTACCATTAATATTTTAAAAATGTGACTCGGGACAGTTTATCTATGAAAAGAGGAGGTTATACCAAAAAGTGAGTACTATCTTCAAAAGAGGCACTTTTCTATTTCTTTTGTGTTGAAAATAAGTATAATGAGTTATTACCATCTAAATGCGATTTTTATTGAACAAAATGAGATTTTAGTTAGAGTCTCTTTGACCAAAACGGAATATGGATACGACTAGTGGTTCAAATATTTACATAGATTAAGGTCGTTCAGTGAACTCGAGCGAATTCATGGGTAGTGCCGTATTATCCAGGTATACAATCATAGTTTGGTATAGTTTTTTATAGTCGTGTGTACCTACAACATTAATCCTCATGACAACACTTCTATGATCTGTATTTCATTAAACATAAAGTAATTGTTGTTTATTAAGAAAAAATGAAGGTAAAATATTTCTATATTAGTAAATTACAGTGGGTTTGTTTGGTAGGTCCATTCATTAGGGAATCCATTTTAATCGTAATTATAATAGGTGTGACTGACATAAGTAATTGGTCATACATCGTTATTCTTGATGCTTTCATCATTTCATTTCATCAGTCAATCAGTTTTGAATCTACAAGAA